GCTGCTAAGCTTATGATTCTCCCATGTGGTGATTCGGCTTAGCCGCAGGATAAGGGCAAGGCGCAAACGGCGTTGCCACAAAGATTAAGGAATGCGAACAGATGGCACAGATTGTCGAGAACGGCTTCTGGGACACTAGTGGATATAATAGAATTCAATGGAAATCGCAAAAACCCAAAACTGAACACACCATGGAGGAGGTCTCAATAGGCCTGATAGTTTTGTTTTTGATTTTTAGATTTCTGCGAGTTATCCAAAAAAATTCAAAAACTGCACACACCATGGAGGAGGTCTAAATAGTCCTACTAGTTTTGGGTCTTCTGGACCTTTTAGATTCTTTGGATCTATATATATATATACATATATTTGGTACCCCCTACGTGGACAGTGTTTAAAACAGTTATTTGCACACAGGTCCCAAAATGTGACTAAATCATTGTAAATTACAATGAAACATACAAAGATGTAGTTCTGGGGGGGGCCTACCATATATATATATATGGTACCACCCTTGAGGAAGCGTTCCAAACAATCATGTGGAACAAGGTCTTAAACAGATCATTCAAAAAATGAGCGCAAAATATCACTAAAACATTGTAATTTTCAGTAAAGACCACACTTTGGGTGTGTATTGGAAGGGGGACCATATATATATATATATATCTTTTTTTTTTAGGACCTGTAATATTGCGAACCATTTCCTGATAAATCAGAGCAGTTGTGCATAGCATACATGTGATTGTACTGCAGCCCTTTTGTCAAACAGGAAAAGTGCGTATGGTAGCGGAGCTGAGAAGGAGGTAACCCCTCTGGAGCTCTGAGAACAAAAGACCCTAGGTCACTGGGACCCCGGTGCGATTGTGAGCCATAGGTTTGGGGCCCCTAGCAGCTGAACTGGTGAGGAATTGTTGTGAGCAACACTCTGTACCCAGTACATTGTGTCAAAGAGACATTAGTACCATGGATGAGATGACGGAAATCCTTCATACAATAGCAGTAGCACAGAGTACGCTGGCAACAACATCAACGGCTGAGGCAGTGAAGAAAGCAGTGGAGGACAAGAAGTCATCGACAACAGATGGGTCAAAATTGATAGCAAAGCCTAACATTTTTGACTACAAGTCGCAAGATGAAGAGATGAAGGCATTCAGAGTGGTCATGGAGCAGTTGATGAAGGCTACATGAAGGATATGAAGGAAATTCGTGACAAGCCAAATGAGAAGTTTGACATGGACTTGGCAACTAACTCAGAGAAGACCAGGTGCATCGAGCTCTATGGAAAAAGCTTGACTGATGAGAGGAAGGGCACTGCAATTGGTGAAGGCTGTGGAAGACTCGGATGGATTTGATGCCTGGAGGAGTTTGAATAAAGCTTTGAAGCCAACTTCAAAGGCAAGAGTCTTGGCACTCTTGGGAGAAGCCACTACATGGCCAGCGTTTTCAATGAACAGTGCGCTGCAACCTCAACTCTTGAAGCTTGAAGAAGTATGTGATGAGACTGTCAAGGCAGGAACTACAATTCAGCAAGAGTTCAAATCTGCTATTTTTTTGAGATGTGTAGGTGGACAATTCAAATCCTACTTGAACTTGGCAATTGGTGACAATGTTTAATAGGCAACTTTGAGGGAGCATGTGTTGCAATGGGCTAGATTTCAACGGAAGTGGGCTACTTCCATGGTGGCTAGTAGCAGTACAGACTACCAAGGACCCATGCCAATGGACGTTGATCGAGTCCAAGATGCTAAAGGAAAAGGTAAGAAGTGCAAGAATGACCATCAGAAGGGCAAAGGTAAGGATGCCAAGGGCAAGGGGAAGAAGGGAAAAGGAGATCAGACAAGAAAAGAATGTGATCATAAGGGTAAAGGTAAAGGCAAAGACCAGAAAGGCCGAAAGGCCACGGCGTGGCAACGTGCTACACTTGTGGAAAGCCACGGCATCTTGCCAAAGAGTGTTGGAGGAACAATATTCGACAGGTAGGAAGTGATCAGACCCATTCATCTTCAGGAGGAGCGTCGGTGACAATACAGTTGGCCAACAGCATGCGAATGTGAGCCAACAGAGTAGCTCAGCAGAGACCAAACCAGTGGTCAGGAGAATTGAGAACAGTGAGCCAATCATCTTTGACCTGAAAGAAAGAGACAATGAGCTATGAAAGATCAAGATAGGCTAGAGATTCACTTCTACATTGGAGATGATGATGATGATGAGCCAGAGGTCCAGGAAGTTGAGGAGATTGACATTTCAGATGATGAACCCTGGTGAGGAGACTTGGGGAAGAGAATGAGGATGTGGCCATCGTTATTGACAGTGGAGCAGATGTAGCGCTATTTCCTGTGAGTATGGCAGATCACGGGGAAGGAGAACTACAATTCAGCACAAAGACCAAGCTACAAGACGCACAAGGGAATCGTATCATCGCAGGCGGTGCGAAGCGTTGAAATTTCCTTGCGTGACCTTGATGGACGAGAAGTTCTTCTCAAAAGAGAATGTGATCTTCAGTTCTAAGGTGAGCCAGCCCATACTTTGTTATGGAAAGCTGATGGAACATGGTCGTTGAACCAATAGTAGAGAGCAAATGTTGGAGAATGGTGACTTCAAGTTACCACTCAACTTGCAAAATCGCTGTTTGACAGTTCAAGGCCGCATTAGAGTCATTCGAGATGAAGATGAGAACTACCTGGAAGTGCAAGTACGTGAAGATTTGGAAAAGGAACCACTTTTGGGAAAAGAGGAGGTAGATGGCTAATTCCTGAATATTGCGAAAGCATGATGAAAAAGGAGGAACTTAGAGCAGTTCTTTGATGATGATGCAGTCATTCCTTCAATCGCAATCTTCAGCTATGAGCCAGCGCCTGACGGGCTTTGGGCCCAACCAGGCAACTACGCCCAGCAGATGTGGGAAGCCTATGAAGTGCACATTGGGTTGGTCAAACTTCAACAACTACCAGCAGACAACTGAGACAAGTCAAACGTCTTGCGCGAACCAGAGCAGATTAGCCTTGACTTGGCAGAAGCTTTGTTGGATCAGGTATCTACCGCCTATACCAAGAGAGGTATGATGTAGCGTTTGCAGTGAAGGAATGGATCCCAAGAATGTCAACCCCTACACCTATCTCTTTTCTTCCCGCGAAGAATTTCTTGGGATACGCGAAGAAGACTATGGACTATTGTCTAGTACTTGAATTTCCACCAGCAGGAGAAGGTTATGTCAAGAAAGGAGAAGGTTTTTGATGCTTGGAGACATTTTCAGATATACAACAAAAGTCACAGAAAGTCAACATCAGAAGGATTCCATGCATTGGGCAGTTACATTCGTTGTCCATTGTTCAACAGCAGCAGAACGCAAAAGATCATTAGCTTATCTTCGTGTGAAGCAGAACTACCTGCAATAGTTTCCTCAGCGTCAGATGGAATCTATATCAGAGAAGTGCTGGAATCTGCTCATGGGACAAAGGTGGACCGCTACATCTTCACAGATTCATCAAGTGCACGCCAACTTGTGACAAAGAGAGGAGTTGGAAAGGCGAGACGCTTAGATGGAAAGTTGCTATGGGTTCAGAACAGGAAAGACTTGAAAATGGTACAAGCGCCAGCAGTAGCAACATGGCAGACCTCAACCCAAAGCCACTTGGAGCAAAGAGAATCAGATACTCGATGAACCTCATTGGCTATTGGCGCAGTGAAGATCAAAGCAGAGTAGGGGAGTATGAGAGAAGGGTGTTTGAAGAGCAGAAGCATTTTGCAGGAAGGGTCGCTAAGATTGCCAAAATGATTGTTAGCATGGTTGCTTTTGAGGGCTTGCAGCCAGCGGCTACAGAGGCATTCCTGAAAGGAGACGACGTCCAATGTGAGACGATCGCAGTGAAGAAATCCAATGAAGAATGGGCCATTTGCATTGTTATAATCATTGTGTTCAACATTATCGGTTTTGCACCAGTGATCTTCGCGAGCTTCCGAATCTACAAACACTTTGAAGCACTACATTGACATGCAGACTTTGCTCATACAACCCGCTTTATAACAAACTTCTATGAAGAGGTATCCAAAATACATTTAGGGAGAACCGAAGAGGTCAATGGAGTGGGAAGATCCTCTGATGAACTATACTATCATGTTGAGAACCGCTATTGGGAATCGTGGGAATACACCCAACCGAGGGTAGGCGGGGCAGAAAGTCAAATAGCAGAAGTTGCGAGTATGATCATCAAAGAGTGTGAATGTGATCCGGAGGAAGTAGATCTACTCAAGGACTATGCCAGAAGAATTCACAGTGGATTGATTCTCCTTGGAGGCTTTAAGTAGGGGAAACACCAAAAACGCAAGCCATTCGTAGCTATGACATACTGACTGAGACCAACGTGGGAAACTTCTTAGGCAGGAGGAAGTTGGAAGCTATGCAAGCTACAGAAGGATGGTACGAAGGACGCAGAGTGATGCTAGATGCAGCCAATGAAGGAGCAAACCCATCAGGAGGACCATTGAACAGATCATTGTCAGTGGGAAACAGAAAAGTATCAATGAGATCGGAATATATGAGAACGCAGGCAGTACACATGTGGGGTAACCTACTAGGAGTTGGAAATCAAGATGCTGCAGAAAGAACTGAGGAAGATCACAAGGAGTATGGAGAATTATTTGAGATAGCAGAATCTAGAAGGGACAACCCACATGTTGATCCAGCAGCAGCAAGCTCTAGGAACCCGGTTCCTGAGAGAAATGAGTAAATTCAGAAGAGAAAGAGAAACAAGAATTGGATGGAAAGAAAATGGACTACTGTGGCAAAGTGAGCTCAAACAAGCATTTTAGAGTCTCACATCGCCAAGAAGGAGTGCGAACCATTTTCCAGGTAAATCAGAGCAGTTCTGCATAATGGACATCACTGAATACATATGTGATTGTACTGCAGCCCTTTTGTCAAACAGGAAAAGGTGCGTAAATCAAGTAACCTTTAAACGTCCGGGTGCTTGTGGACTCTTCTCTGAACCCTTCGATGCGACCAGGTGAAAGATTTGATTTTGGTGGACAAGGAGCCCAGCGGAAGGGGACGGTTCGTTCCGGCGAGTTCGCATACGAAGGTTGGCCGTGTAAACGACCGCGGAGGGCGTTCAAAGTGAACTGGGGCAAGCCAAACAGGTCACTCTGTCACGTTGCGGCCCGAAAGACACGACCACCTCATCCCCCCGATCTAAGCCCTTCACAAAGGGCCACGTCGTGGCCTGGGCATGTTTCCTTTGCTGCTTTGTCCTTCATCCAGGAAGGGCCTTGCTCCATCATGCAGATCGACCTCTGCGGCGGTGTCTTCGGTCTGCCGGAGTTCGCGAAGGCGCCGCCGGTGCAGACCTTAGCCTCGATCCTGGAGGTGGAGTTGGAGAGTCCCTCGCACCAGGCATGGAGAGCGTTGATGGGAGGGAGGGGGAGAGAGATGGGAGGGATGAGGTGGTGGGCTGACAAGCCATCGTTTCTGGGTTTCCGCTGCGTGCTCTTTTCTGGTCAGGTGGAGGTGATTCCGATCATCAACGAAGCATTGGAGAGGCGTATGTTTCATTTCACCATGCCGCTTGGTTCTTGTCGCAGCGCTTGGGCCGTCCTGGTCGCCCCCGCGGTGCATCAGAGGGAACCAGCTGTCTAAAGCGGACTGGCTTCGGCAGAATCAAACATAACATGCCCCATCAGTGGCAGGCAACCTATTTACCTTGCACGCTTGGACAGGTAGTTCTTGATTGCACAGTTTCTCATTGTTTGCACTGTTTGTTTTGTATATGTATGTACAGATGCATATATTATTTTCGAGTTTTTGTGTATGGACTGATCATTGACGGTTATTGAATGATAAATGGAATTTTATAGTGATATTTTTTACTTTGTACAGCTGATGATCAACACGCCCCTAACAACCCCAACCAAACGATCTCTAAGGTACCTCGGTCACAAACGAGTACTTGTCCAGCCACAGTTGAGTTTAAAAAACACGATCTATACAACTGTTTTTGCCGTTTTTGGGCCTACATTGGATCGAAGCTCAGAACTGCGATTTTCGATCCTTCTCACTTCCATTGTGGGAGCTTCGATTTGTTTCACCTTTGGCGTTGCTGGGGGTTCATATCCAGGTCTGCTCGAAAGATCAAGACCTTGTCGCTGGCGAACACCTACAAATTGGTGAGATTCGTTGGACACGGCATCCTGAATCGAGCAAAGGACCCGATGGGCTGTTGAAATGAGCGGGTCGAGTTTTTGTGCAGGAAACGTGAGGTGTTTCTGAGGCTTTGCCAAAGCTCTATGGAATCCTTGTAAGGCCTGCAGACAAGTCGGTAGCAGACATATTACTCTAACTCTTTTGTTCACAGTTCGTATACATAGTCTCGCTTCCAGGAAGGAGCGAAACGTGGGGCCAAGAACCCTGCCTTGGCGGCGGGCTTTCAGCGACCCGTCGAGATCGATGAATTGGACCCTGATGGTCCCTCGGTGGATGATGTCGAGCGGGTTTGGCGAGCAGGTTTGGTGAGCTGAGGGACCCGCCAATGCCGAGCACGAGCCAAAAGGGACGCACGAGGTCCACCGCCCAAAAGGATCCAAATCAGAGACAGTATGTAACGAGGATTTTCACAGTAAAGAATGAATCTGAGCCGGAGCGATGAAATAGATTTCACGTCTAGGTTATACAACACCCTCTCGATGTCCATCTTCTCCGGGGAGTAATAATAAGGGCATCGCTACTCGGAGCAAGGACGCTACTAGTAGCTCCTGGCACTGCTACTGGTAGCAAGAAGCTACTAGTAGCAAGTGCATCGCTACTAGGAACAACACCATCGCTACTAGTAGCAAGAAGCTAGTAGTAACAAGGGCATCGCTACCTTCTTCACCGGAGCGGCTCCGCTGGGAGACCCAAACGCGCTGGGAGACGCGCCCCAGGTCACATGATCCAAGAACTCTGCGGCCGAAAGCAGACCGTCCGGGCACGGGCGCCCGGTGGACCGGACGGGAATCAATCGGACGAAGCCGGGCGGAGCCCGGGGCGGCTCGTCTTCCGGGTGTGAAGACGAGTAGAAATTGGTTGGCAATTTTGGGGAGGATCCATACGATCCAAACTGATGCAACTTGAAAGCTTCATGTTTTGAACAAGCAATTAGTGACCATAGACAGTTCCCTTTGCAAGCTAAATGGCTTTTCAAAAGAACGGATGCTGCAGGCCAATCTGTTAGCCTCGCTCAGGACTTGTTCCAGAAGTTCGCAGATATGGAGCAGAGCTTGTCCGAGATCCAACGCAAGGTGGTTGTAGGACCGGAAGCTGTGCTCTTTTGGAAGGTTGGGTCAACTGCTTTCCAACTGTGTCAACTCCCAAGCGTCGGTGTGCTGTGCTGTAGCTGGAAGCTTGAATGAGGGAAGAGTCGTGCGCATGCATAGAGTTTTCTTGCTCCCTTCATTCTCTACCCAATAACTAAAGGCTGGTCAAGAGAGTGCCAGATGAACTGCTTGGAAGAATCCATACCTTTTTTAATCTTTAATATCATCCCCACCCCCTTAACCATTGTTTTGAGGGGGGGGCCTGAAAAATGTAACTTCCAATTCCCCCCCCC